CCACGGGCTCTGGTCGCGCCTCTTCCCGGGACATTAAATAACAATCTAAGTAGATCAGGCTTCCGCAGTCTCCTAAGGGAGCCTTCTCGGAGCTCTCTTCTGAGCCTCCCTGCAGTGTGGATGCTAGACATGGGCATGGCTTTCCAATCAGTGCTGTACCAAGCCCATAACCTCTCCTTGTACCCGCCTGCTTCAGGATCTTACAGCATTGCAGGGGAGTGTCTTTTCCTTTGGCTGTGTGCCATACCCGAAGTCAGTGGTCTCCAACCTTTTTACACCCAAGATCACTTTTTAAATGACAGACGGAGCCAAGATCTACCGCCCCGCCCCTTCCTTGAAGCCCCGCCCTCTCTATTCTCTTCCTCTCCATCACTTGCTATCCCCAATCCTTATACTGCTACTTTAAAAAAAAATCCACCATTCCTCGCAGCTACTCACCTGTGCTGTTGCTCGGTGAGTAGCTGCTCCTCAACTGAGGAAATCGAATGTAAATGTACTGCGCAGGCGTGCAGTTCAGAGAGGGCTCAAGAGCTACTCTTAGAGCCTCCGAGATCTACCGGTAGATCACGATCTACTGGTTGGTGACCATGGCCCTAAGTCCTATTCAGTGTCACTACATTCTAGGGAAGAGTCAACTATTTTTATAAGTTTGACCTACACTCTTGGTTCCTCAGCATATAACCTTACATTTAATTGAATGCCGTCCATGAGAGCCAAGCATCTTACCAGACAATTCAAATTAGCATGTGTAACTGACCTGTCTCACCATTTGTGTGTTTGACTAGCAATGATTTTATATTCCAGATCTACTATATTTTAGAAACTTTGTGTGTGCATCTATGTGTGACTCTCTTTTAAGAACTCCTTCTAAATGGTAAGAACTAGGACCACCAAATTTTGTATGCAGTAAGGTAATGGTTTGGTTGTGCCAGGACCATGGGATGTGCATGGAATTCAGCTATTTTCCATAATATAGAAAGGGAGGGGGTCTGGTAGGAGAGACTGTGATACTGTATATTGACCACAAGGGGCCAAAGACGAGGCATGGGACAACTATAACCCCATTGAGCCAGCGGAGGTGGAGAAAGGGGAAGGTATTTACTACATATTTCAGAGAGTTTATGGTGTGTCTGTCCCCAACTGGGATGTGCACCCCTCCCTCGGCTGTGCCCACTGCAGCTGCAAAGGCTGTGGACAGGTGCTTCTCACCTTGCCCAAGCTGCTGCAGTGAGGGTTGTCCTTTTTTCTCTCCCCCTCACCCCCATTCAATATCTTAATCAACGATTTAGATATTGGCATAGAGAGGACACTTATTAAGTTTGCAGATGATACCAAGCTGGGAGGGGTTGCAAGTGCTCTGAAGGATAGGGTACAAATTCAAAATGATCTGGACAAACTAGAAAAATGGTCTGAGGTAAATAGGATGAAGTTTTATAAGGACAAATGCAAAGTGCTCCACTTCGGAAGGAACAACCCGTTTCTCTCACACAGAATGGGAAGCGACTGTCTAGGCAGGAGTCCTGCAGAAAGGGATCTAGGGGTTAGAGTGAACCACAAACTAAACATGAGTCAACAGTGTGACGCTGTTGCAAAAGAAGCAAACCTGACTCTGGACTGCGTTAACAGGAGTGTTTTGAGCAAGACATGGGAAGTCCTTCTTCCATTTGACTCTGTGTTAATTAGGCCTCAGCTGGAATATTGTGTCCAGTTCTGGGCACCACATTTCAAGAAAGATGTGGAGAAACTGGAGAGGGTCCAGAGAAGAGCAACAAAAATGATTAAAGGTCTAGAGAACATTAGCTATGAAGGAAGACTGAAAGAATTGGGCTTGTTTAGTTTGGAAAGGAGAAGACTGAGGGGGGACGTGATAGCGGTTTTCAGGTATCTAAAAGGGTGTCACAAGGAGAAGGAAGAAAAATTGTTCTCTTTGGCCTCTGATGATAGGACAAGAAGCAATGGACTTAAACTGCAGCAAGGGAGGTTTAGGTTGGATGTTAGGAAAAGCTTCCTACCTGTCAGTGTGGTTACACACTAGAGTAAATTGCCTAGGGAGATTGTGGGATCTCCATCTCTGGAGATATTCAAGAGCAGGTTCCATAGACATCAGTCAGGGATGGTCTTCTAGATGGTGCTTGATCCTGCCGTGAAGGGAGGGGACTGGATTTGATGACCTCTCAAGGTCCCTTCTAGTTCTGCGATTCTTTCCCTGGGGTAACCTGCATACTGAGCCCCTCCTCCCCAGCTCCATATTGGTACGATGGTTTAAATGAAGAAACACAAAACATTTAAGGACCTGAGCAATACAAGGTAAATCTTGTAGTAATTACTAAAGACATTTATAGATTCTGAGGCCACAACAGATGATTATGGTCATCTGAACTCCTGCATAATGCAGGCCAGAGAACTTCCCCAAAATAATTCCTAGAATGGGGCTATGTCTAGACTGCAGGCTTCTTTCAGAAGAAGCTTTTCTGGAAGAGATCGTCTGAAAAAACTTCTTCCAAAAGAGAGCGTCTCCACAGCAAAAGCAGATCAAAAAAGCGATCTGCATTTTCGAAAGATTGCGTCCACACTGAATGAACACTATCTCGTATTTAAGCTGTTATTACTATGGACGAAGTGGCCACTAGGGCACCTATGCTTTGTCCTCTTTCCTCTTCTTTCGAAAGAACTCCTTCTTCCCCCTCCACACATGCCTCTTTCCGAAACAGCTCTTTTGGAAAAAGGCTTCTTCCTCATAGAAAGAGGTTTACCAATGTCAGAAAAACCCCTCTGTTCTTTTGATTTTTTTTTTCTTCCCCCTCCAAAAAGTTTTTTTGCGGTGTGGATGTAAGCAAAGATGTTTAAAAAAAAAGAAAAAAAAAGCCGTTTTTCTGAAAAAACTCTGCAGTGTAGACATACCCTGGATCTGTTAGAAATATATATTGAATAGCATTGGACTGAGAACAGATCCCTGCAGGACCCTACTAGAGATATGTATAATTTAGACAGATTTTAATTAATTTAATATGACCTGCATTGTTTGGCATGGTGTTAAAAGATTTATTCAGAACACCCAGAAGGGCTAAATCCATCTTTAGACTTATGGAAATCTCAAAAGTAACTTGACACGGTCCATTCTCACCCAAACTGGAAGTGAATTTGAGGGAAGAGATGCAGCAGTTATGGTGAAAGTTAAAGCACTTCAAGCGCAAAGGTTATTTTGTTTTGGATAAATGAAAACTTTTCATAATACCCTTGTCTATTAAAACCCATCTGCCTTTATTGCCCTGTGCTTATTTAGCTGAACACAAAGGGTAATGCCAAAGGTCTTTTGGCATGATTTTTTTCCTTTCATTCCCAGCCCTGTGATTCTTCTATGGCCAACTGGCCAGTTGAACACAAACTGCCTGAACTTGGTCTTAAAAATGGAAGTCACTAAAACAATTATAGCTGTGATAGAAATGGATAATCACATTGCTTTGTCAATTGACTATAAAATAGAAGGTGAATGAGGTAATATCTTTGTACCCAATTCCTGTTGCTGAAAGAGGCAAGCTCCCACCATCAGAAATCGTTCCACTAAAAGCTATTGCCTCACCTATCTTGTCTCTCTAATATCCTGAGACTGACGTAGCTACAACTACACTATGCGAATTAGACAGATGCCTGTTTTCTCAGAGCTATTTTATAGAAGGCAGTAAGGGTTAGTTCATTTAAATTTGTTCTTGGAAAACTTGTTTGTGTCTCTCTCTCTCTGCTGGTGGGGATGACCCAGCTACCAGCGGATAACGGGCTCATCTCTAACTCATTCTAATGAAGTACATTATCCCATATCATCCTGAGAGCAACCCAACCACGACTTGGTCACGCTTTCAGCACTGGTCTTTCAGTCTGATCTCTTTCCACTGAAGTAAGCACCAAGAGGACAGACTAGAGTGTGTAAGTGTACTTGTGTAGAAAAAATAACGTTGTTAAGAGTCAGAAGCGAACACAAGCTAGAGGCCTATATGTAAGGGCTAGCAACAGTTTTAAACTCTATTTACTCTGCACAGCAGAGGGGAAATTGGCAAGCAGTAGACAAACATGATCGTCCCACCTTTAAATTAAAGGTTACTTGCAAAGGAACTGATTCTTTGTTATTTCGCACCATGTATCATTATCTGCACTAATGCAAAGTGAGTATAAATGGTACCATTATGGCCTGGATTTTGCATTGGTGTAAATGATGACCCCTGATGCAGGGGAATGGTGAATTAGGACTTAATGTCATGATCCTCAGCCCATGGAAGTAGGAATGCATGGGTCAGTCTTCCTGAACTGGCAACAGAGTGACTTGTCAGTCTTGTGAAAAGCTGTGTTCACTATTAGTAGGCTTTCTATCTCTGACCTCCTTCTCAATCCCCCGTGGTTCTTGTTACCCTGGAACTGCCTGGCCCACTCTGCTTTCCTAGGCTTTTGGGAAGAACAATTAGCAATGTGCACTTGCCTCTTTCCAAGCACTAGCAGGAGACCTGGGTGCTGCCTTGGGTACTGATAGCAGCAGGACTGTGGCAGTTGACCAGGGCATCTGGCACTGGCTTCCTTCATGGCGGCCTGGCACGGTGACTTTCGGCTGGCTGCCCATTTCCACTTCTGAGTTGCCTCCAACTGCCATAGAATCTTCTGGCCCCTCATCCGGCCTCTGACATCGCTGTCTCCCAGCCTGCCCCTCCCTGCCCCATTTACAGGACTGCTGTTTGATCTGTATGCTCGATACACACGCAGGTCACCAGCAAAAGGAAAACCAGCACGGCTGGTGCCACCCTTTAACAGGTAAGCAGCCAAGATTTGCACACAAGATGAACCGCTTTTTGTTATTAAAGACTCTTTAGCTCTCTTTGCACAAGTAATTAATACATAGTGATTACTACGCTGTGTTGAGCGCTGTCTCTTGGTTAACTATATTTTGCCATCTGACGCTCTTTTGAATCTGTTAATTTTCACTGTCTCATGCTGCTCATCAGTGTTAATTTGTGCTGGTACACAATGAGAGGTGGCCACATTTCAGCGGTAGGCAAAGTAATTCACATGTGTGTGCATCCACAGTGTTTGGAATTTGTTGTTTCAGACTTTACTAATCTTTAGTAAGCTTTCTGGATGAAAGGTGCCATATAAATGTATGCTCATTAGGTTTACACAGGCATCACTTTGGATGGAAGTGTGACACCTAGTGGGCAGCTAATGCTACTTCAAGCAGTATCCTTACAATAGTATCCAAACATGACTTGGCCACAGTGATCCGACTGGATTACTGTAATGCACTTTGTGAGGCTGCCTCTAAAGAGCCTTTGGAAACTTCAACTGGTCCAGAATGTGGCTGCTCGAGTTTTAACTAACACTAGTTATACCGAGCACAGTATGTTTCCGGGCACAATTTAAGGTTTTAGTTATGACCTATAAAGCCTTAAATGAGTTGGGTCCGGGGTATCTGAAGGACCGTCTTCTCTCATATGAACCTGCCCGGGGATTGAGGTCAGCTGGGGAGGCTTTGCTTCGTGTTCCCCCACTTGTGGAGATAAGATTAACATCTACGCGGAACAGGGCATTCTCAGCTTTTGCTCCCAGGCTGCGGAATTCTCTTCCTCGGGATATTCTCATGGCACCAACACTAGTGTTGTTTTGGCGTCAGGCTAAAGCCACCCTTTTTACTCATGCTTTTATTAATGTTTGAGTCTGGATGTGTGAGTTCCTCCTCTCTCTATGTTTTTAGCTGGTTATGTCCCTCTGAGGTCTCATATTTTAAATTTTTATATATATTTGTATTTTTTTTTTGTTCTTGTAAGCTGCCTTGAATATTTTAAATAGAAAGGCGGGGTAAAAATATTTAAATAAATAAAATAAATAAATAGTTGTCAGTTAATAGGCATTAACGGTGAGTTGTTAGGATCCATCTGGAATGCACAGTATTTCTCATTTACTGGAAATCATATACTTGTATACCTTCTGCTGTATTGGGGGAAAAAAGGGTTCCATACAGGGACTTAGTTCTCATGTGATGAGATGATACACATCCGCATTCATACATCTTGAAGAAATGGCTCACACTTAATGTCTTTTACTATTTTTGCACTGGAAGGAATGTCAAGTAATTTGAACAAACAAGTGCAGAGGAACTAACAGTGAGCAAATTGCAAAACTCTGTTAGGCTATGTCTATACTGCACCTGTTTTGTGCAAGTAATATGAATTTCTTTTCCAGGAGAACAGCTCTTGCGCAAGCGGGGGGTCTTGCGCAAAAAGGAGCGGTGTAGGCACCTTTTGTGCAAAAAGTGGTCACTCATTAATTATGCAAATGAGGCTCAGCGATATTCCATGCTTAGCCTCACTTGCATATTTCTTTCGCAAAACGGGTGCAGTATAGACATAGCCCTGGATTGAGATTGCTCTCTGCCCCCAACACTGCATTCGGCACAAGAGTTTTCTTTCCTGGAAAAAGGAAGCTCTAATATTGATGAGATTAGATGTTTATAAGTCAGACCAGACTCTCCAAAATAGGGGTCACTTGGAGCATTTTGAGATCTTTTAGACTTCTCATCAGAAAAAAACCATGACCTCTGTATAGGGCCTTAGGTGGATCACTCGTGGAATATTGAGTCCAATGTTGGTGTCTGCTTCAAAAAGGATGTTGAAAGATTGAAAACCTTTCAGAAAAGAGCTGTGAGAACGATTCTGGAAAACATGCTTTATGTTGAGAGGCTGGAGAAGGGAATAAGCCAAGCACAGTGAGCAAGAGAAAGTTACAAGGTGGCTTGAATCATTGTTTGTAAAGACTTAAAGGGAAGAATATTTCTGATAGTAGGTGGCTCTTCAGTCTGGAGGACAAAGGCATAAGACAAGCCAGTGGAAGCTGAAGCTAGACAAATTCAGACTAAAAATAGGACACACGTTATTAACCATTAGTGTAATGAGTCTTTAGAATGTAGGGGTCTGTTGGGATTTTAAAATCAAGACCAGATGTTAAAAGAACAATGCTCTAGTTCAACTAGAAGAAATGGGCTTGATGCATGAATCAGAGGCTGAAATTCTGTGGTCTGTGCTAGGCAGGCAGTTGGAGGAAGTGATCAGAACAGAGACATTCTGGCCCTGAACCCTATTAATCTTAGCCCACAACAGGCAAACTGAATCCTTGAAGTTCAGTGTGTTAGCGAAGTAACAAGGGTGCTAATGAGATTCATAGGCATGAACAAATAGGTTGGAATACTACAAGAAACTCCACATCAGGTTACCCTTTTGAAATGTGCAACCTTCAGGTAGTACAGAACCTGGCAGCCTGCTTCCTTAATGTTGTTTTTGCAGAGAGCACATTGCACATTTGCCATAGCCAGCACTGACCTGAAGTTAGTTTGCTGGGGCAATTAAATGTGCTGGGTTTTGCTCTGTAAGCCTCAGTGGGCTGTGGGTGCTGGCTCTGTTAGAGGCAGCCTCTCTGCTGTTGCATCCCGCCTATTGAGATAACATGGAGTGCTCTCTCTGCTCGTCCATGAAGCCTATCTGGGGGACAGATGCTCTGAGAGGAGATGAGCTAAGTCACTTGGGCTGAAATTTTCAGGGGTGTCTCCTAGTGATGTAATAGTGTAGTCAACTAACTGATTATCCTATAAGCTTTAGCTTATTGGCTAATGCTATAGACACACGCACGTCCCACCAATCCTTTTTTTTTTTTTTTTTTTAAAGCCGGCTGGCCAGCAGCCTGGCTCAGTCTTGGCTCCTGCCGGGTTCGAGACCCTCCTCTGCTGCGGCTCTGCATTTAAAGTGTATTAGGAGCCTGGTCGGCAGGCAGCCCGGCTCAATTCCAGCTCATGTCGGATTAGGGAGCTCAGCTCCTCTTGCCCCTCCAGATGGGCTGCTGCCACCCTATACTGCTGCTTCTGATTCAGAGGCAGCAGCGCAGAGCAACAGGCAGCTGGTTCATGAGGAGAGCTGTTTTTTAAACTGGCTCCCCTCATGGACCAGTTCCCACCTGGCACCCCGCACAGCTGCTTCTGATACAGAGGCAGCAGTGCAGAGTGACGGGGGGGTTCTTCGAGATTGGGGCTGAAGTGCGCTGGCTACCGGCCCCACCCCTAGGGACTATAGAATAGTCGAGTAACTGATAAGAATTCATGATGTTAATCAATTATCCAATTAACTGGTATTTGACATCCCTAGTGACTGTTAATTTGGGAGTCCTCATTTGAGACTCATAGCCTAACTTATTGAGGTGCTGAGCAGCCACAATTCCCGTTAGCCAACTGGCTCTGTAGATACTCAGCTCTTCTGAAAATTAGATGCTATCTGACTCAGAGCCTTGCATGGATCCAAAATGAGTGTCCGGAGCTGTAGATATCAGCATCCAGAGCTGTGGATGTGGATCCCTGTGGATATAAAGCAGTTATCCATGGATCTGCAGGGCTGTACACATTGTGCATTCAGAACTGGTGGGCACTAAATGATCTTGGCCTTAATCTCTGTTTCCATTCCCCAGTGTGTAAAATGGGGTTAGGTGACTCAGAGGGTAAGGGTTAATCCATGTTCATCAAGTGCTTTGAGATTGCTCATGAAAACATGACACCAATACAAGCATAGTCCTCTTTGAATGAGGACAAATATGTGCATGTCCAGAACTAATGAAACCCAGAGTTAATTTGTTTTGCTTTAAGCTTTCTTTCCTTTCCAGAGCAAGATGTTCCTGGTTGGACTGTCGGGGGGAATTGCTTCTGGAAAAAGCACAGTGGTTGCAGTGTTCCGGGAACTGGGCTGTGCGGTGATTGATGCTGATGTTATTGCCAGACAGGGTTAGTCTTGCATAGTTGATCTCTTTTCTTGTATTTTTCTGACAATCTGGAAATAGTCTGGTGCTGCTTTGCAGTTCAGACAGCAGAGGGTGCTCTGTGTTCAGTCAATAGCTGAACCTTTTGCTTGCCCAGTTTAAGACAAGATCGGTGTGGACTGGCTGTCTTCGGGGATTGGGAACAGGATACATTTTTGATCAAAAGACACGTCTCTGACACACACTGTGAAGGGATAGCGCTCTGGATGTTGTACTCCTTGAGCATAGTGCAGTGAACACTGCTGTGTAGAGCAACTGTCTGTAAGGAGTGTAACAAAGTTCTCTGCAGATCAGTGACTCCCTCCCTCCAGCCATCACCAAAGCTGCCACGACACAGCTCCCTACCTGTCAGGGGCTGTTGGTGAGGCTTGAATGACTAGTGAATGTCACTTTGATACCCCAGAAGAGACTGTCCTCCTTCACGCTGGGGCTTTTTTGTCAAGATCCCAAATAGTTCTGCCCCCAAATTTAGTTCTCACCTTAAAAATGCAACAAAGATGAGAACCAGCCTCGTGTGACAGCTGCAATTGTACTCAAAACTGCAGTTTTGTTTTATTGTGCTGCACCAAAATGCACATGCCTGGGAATCTGTAACACTTGCCATACAAGGTCCAGTGCATTGGAGCTGGGGGTGATGATTCAGAAGATCTGAGATCATCCTCCGATCCAGGTGAAACCCTTATTTTTTCATTCCCTCTGTAAAATGGGGCTTTCCTTATCAGGGTCTTGTGACGTTGAATTTGTATCCATCCCTTTGCAGGTTTGCTGATGAACAGCACTGCAGATGTACAAAGTATTATGCAGACAGCAATGTCACGTGGATGGCTTCATTTTTAAGTACCTCCAGTTTTCTATTCATTGAAGGACTTATTCAGTAGCCATCTTAACGCCGTGATATTTTGAGGTTTTATTGCAGTGTAATGTCTCTTGAGGGGCAGAAAGCCTGCTAGCGGTGCTGACGGGCCTCTGAAAGACCAGGATGCCATGTAGAACCACTGTGCATGTTCAGTGCCACACTGCACCAAGCAATTTATTTTTCTTCAATTGCTTTTATTTATTTATTTATTGGTGGTGTTTACTACTTGAATTTCCTTGTTAACGTCTAATTCAGGGAGTTCCAGTTACTTGGGTAATTGTAAGAAATTCATCTTAGAAAAATGTCTTTCTGACTTGCTCTGAGACTCAATCAAGTAGAAATGTCTGTGTCATTAGACAAAATTACATACACTGATTTTTTTTTTTCCACATCAGTTTATCCCCAGCCTTCTCCCAATTACTTTTTTTATTATTTTATCCTTTGGGTGGTGATTTCGATGACTTTTTTTAAAATGACATTTTTCTTACATCACACTAGTCTATAATAAGCTCCAAACAGTTCTTGGGAATTGGCCTCCTACAGGCCTTCATGTGCAATTTATCATAAAAAATCTCCAGTTCTATTATGTAGGAGCCCTTACTGATGACACTGGAAACCTTCAACCTATTAATATCCAGCCCTCTGTGATATTTAGTAACCCACAACTTCTTTGTGGGAGCCCAGCACGGTTCATCCAGTGCAGGAGTGCTCAGTTAGAACAGGCCAAATATTGGTCCCTGTCTCCTAGGGATGTAAATACCCATTAAAACAGTTAACCGGTTAAATGACTAAAATTATCTTGGTTAACTGTTAGAGGGCTGGTGCAAAGCAGCCAGGGCTGTGTCCCACCTGGGCTGCAGTCCCTGGCCTCTGTGGGATGGTGTGGCAGGGACTGTTCCAGCGCAGTCTGCCATGGCGAGGATCCTGCTAGCCGGCCTGTCACAGATCAGGGGCTTCTCCAGACTGGGCCACCGTAGGTGGAATCCCACCAGATAGGTCTTTGCCGCTGGCTGCCCATTGGAGTTTGGACCGGTTAACTGGTTACTGGGTAAGCATTTCAGTAAACCTAATGCTTACCAGTTAACCGGTCAACCTTTTACATCCTTACTGTCTTCTAAGGTCACTAAAGATTAGGATTGGAGGAGACCTCAGGAGGTCTGCTAGTCCAGCCCCCTGCTAAAAGCAGGACCAGTCCCAACTAAATCATCCCAGCCAGGGCTTTGTCAAGACGGGACTAAAAAATCTCTAAGGATGGAGATTCCCCCACTTCCCTAGGCAACCTAGACCTCCCCCGCTGCAACTTGAGACCATTGTTCCTTGTTCTGCGTTGGTCACCACTGAGACCAGCCTTCCCCATTCTCTTTGAAACCCCTTTCAGGTAGCTGAAGGTTGCTATCAAATCCCCCCTCGCTCTTCTCTTCTGTCGACCAATTAAGCCCAGTTCCCTTAGCTCAGAAGTCCTGTGTCCCCAGCCCCCTAATCATTTTCATTGCCCTGCTCTGGACTCGCTTCGATTTGGCCACGCCCTTTCTGTAGAGGGGGACTGTGACGGCGTGTCGTAGTTCCCCGCCTCCTGCACCCCCGTAGTGGCACGAACAGACTCCGCCAGCCAGTAGAATAGAGGGAGTTTATTGCTTCTCATGTAATCTGGTTCCAGGGCAGGCCTAGGATGCCTCAGCCCCCCTTGAGATGGGGGAGACTGGGCCCCTAAATCCCAGCCCCTTTCCTAGGCTGCTTCCTCCATGATACCAGACAGAAACTAAAAAAACCTCTCTTCCAGCCCTGCCCCCAGCCAGGTGCTGGTCTCCACCCTCCTTCCTTTGTCTTCCTCCCTGGGAGGCTGAGCCTGGTTGTCTGGGTTAATCCACATTTGGGAGAGTCAGTGAGAATCTCCCATCCCAGCGCAGGGGGCCCGCGGGTCACAGAGCAGACAGCCCCCCACTACGCCACAGGGACCCAAACTGAATACTGTACCCCAGACACGGCCTCACTGGTGCTGAATAGAAGAGAATAGTCACTCCCCTAGATCTGCTGGCAGTGCTCTACCAATGTAGCCCAATATGCACTTAGCCTTCTTGGCTACAAGGGAATTCCGACTTGTATCCAGCTTCTCATCCGCTGCAATCCCCAGGTCCTTTTCTGCCAAACTGCTGCTTAGCCAGTCCGTCCCCAGCATGTAACAATGCTTGGGATTCTTCCGTCCCAAGGGCAGGACTCTGCACTTGTCCTTGTTCAACCTCATCTGATTTCTTTTGTCCAGTCTTCCAATTTGTCTGGATCACTCTGGACCCTGTTCCTGCCCTCCAATGTATGTATCCCCCCCTTCCCCCGCTTAGTGAGCTCTCCACTCGCCGCCCATTTGGAATTGAACCTGTTCCCTCAATTCCTTTCAGCTTCCCCTGACAGTGCATGTCGGTTAAACGTGTGCTTGCCTTTGAGCGTGCAGCTAAGTCCCATCAAAGGCAGTGGGGCTTAAGCACGAACTTAACTTTGAGTGTATCTTATGTCCCATTGGCTAAAGTGCTTTGCTGAATCCAGGTCCACCTCTCTGGAGTGTAGTGAGGTAATGGACAAAGCAACGTCTGTCTTCCCTTATGAATTCAAACCGAATCGATGGCCGTCATCTCTCCTGTGTGAAGGCACCACTCACTCCTCCTTATCATTAGCAGAATCTCTCCCCCTCCCCCCGCATTACTGTGCTGCCAGGCTGCACCGCATGGGCAGAGCAATACCTGCCCTACCTCCTTGCCTTTTCAGGGTGGGGGAGAGCGCGTGAGCATAGGCTGCTGGGAGCAGCAATTGATGAGGCATGCAACCCACAGGCTGGGTGGCCTTCTGAGGTGAGTCAGGGTGAGAGTGGCGCTCTGTCCCTAGCCCTCCGTGGGATCTGGTTCGCATTGCCTGGCATCACCACTTGTGCCCCCCAGCCCCGAACATTCCTCCATGCCCTTCTGGGGGGGCACACCCCACAGTTTGCACACCACTGATTTAAGGCATGTGTGCTGAAAGATCCATCAACATTTAAACTGGCCCTCGGAAATGGCAAAGGTTTTATTACAACTGCTCACTGCAAGGTTTTCCCTTTTGAAAAGAAACAAACCGCAGTAACATTTATCATTACTGAGCACTCCTAGTGGTTCAGTTAGAAGCAGGGCCTCTGCCCTTAGAACCTGTCAAAAGAGAATCCTCTGAGCCCTAGTTATTAGAGCGAGGAAGCATGATTCGGCCGTGCTTTTCCCAGCTCTCCGAGGGGGAGCCATGTTAGTCTGTACCTGCCAAAACCACGAGGAGTCCTGTGGCACCTCAGGGGCTAGCGTTTATTTGGGCATCAGCTTTTGTGGGTAAAATTTACTTTGTCTGACAAAGTGGGTTTTTACCCATGAAAACTGATGCCCAAATAAATGTTAGTCTACAAGGTACCACAGAACTCCTTGTTTTCCCAGTTCTGCTACCAACTTGCTGTGTAACCGCAAGTAAACCCTTTTCCCCAGATTACTGCTTTGTGAAATGGGGATCATGCTGCCTCATAGGAGAATGAGGAAGCTAATTAATGTTTGCAAAGTGCTTTGATCTCTTGGGTGTCTGGCACTGTGGAAATTTAAAGTGTTATTGAACCAAAAGTAGCAAATTAATTTCTGCGGTATGAGATTCAAGTTGGATCTCCTGTAGATTTTTAGACCCTTAGGTGAGATGTTCCACAGCTTTGCTTCAGTGTATGCTGATCAACAGATGTGATCTCCCTTGAAAGGCCTGGTCTTCAGTGGAATGAGTTAAGATTCATTTAAGACCCTTCACTGATGTAAACACTTCCTTGTATGCAGCTTTGGCACTAACCTCCAGCTGTTTGTTTTGATCAGTGGTTCAGCCCCACTTCTTAGCCTATCAGCAGATAGTGCATTACTTTGGAAGTGAAGTCCTGTTGGAGAGCGGGGAGATAAACCGGGAGGCGCTGGGAAACATTATCTTCTCCCAGCCAGAAAAACGGCAGCTGCTGAACTCCATCACTCACCCTCAGATCCAGAGAGAGATGCTGAAGCAGATCTTTAAATACTTTGTGCTAGGTAAGACGCTAAGCAATCGTGCTGGAACCCCAGGATATCGGGCATAGTCTGGTTGTACAAGCAACCAGCAATACATGGCTGGGTTTTATTTTGATGGAGAAAGAGGGAGCTAAAACATTGCCTGCCTGCCTGCCTTTGTGCCATGTCACTGGTGGCCTTTAGCGATGTGGCTATCCTTTCATTGTTAGTGTTCAGAGAATTCTGCCTTTCAGTTTTGCCCTTCACATTTTCTCCCTTATATGGTTTAAAGTACATCTGTAGGGCCAGAAAACGCATTGTATGGCTTCTTCTGCGATTGCTCCTTCGATAGTGTCACACCTTCTGAAATGTTCTCATATTCTGCCCCGCCATCCCCAGCTTAACTAAAAGCCATAAAGCTCTTTTAAACTTGATAAGGTGAAAAATGGGTTGACAGCTGTGGATTCTGAAGTCCCGCTTTTCCCTCTGATAAATATAACAAATACAGCTGTCAAACTTGGTCTAATCAAATGCCAGATAAGATCACCAGCTGTTTTGGAGGTCTCCATGTAGACAGAAGGATGTCTTAATGGAGTCCGCCTCGTTTGCAGAGCTTATCAAGGGGGAGCTATGTGACAGCTGAATAGCCCTTTGCTAGGGAGCTGAAGAAGCCACGCTCTCTTGAGAGAGGCAGGGGGAGAAAGTCAGGCAGTGAAGGAAGGTGACACAGCTGGGGAAATGGGAAGGAAGAGGCATCTGAGCCCCTGGCAGCCACTTGGGGAACTGTCCTGCTCCAGCTATCCAGTCACAAATCCTTTTGTCTTCATTGGCTTCCAGTAATGGACTCGGGAGATTTATTTTTGGTGTCATGGGCCAAATGGCTTTAGCTAAAGGTTTGTACAGATACTGAATCCCTGCCCCCACCCCGTTCTGAGGCCCGGTCCTGTAGCTGGTGACGAGTTGAAAGCCTTAAGCTCCAGTCCTGCAGAGCTGGAAGAAGGAGTCCTTACGCCATTGGAGAGGGTTTCCCAACAGAATGCACTGCCCCCACTTCCGCACTCCAAGAGATCAGAGTTGAAAGCCATGGCTTTGTGTGTGTAGGAGAGCTCAGATCACTGTTGGGCATGTCTGTTTTCTTGCTCTCTTTGTTGGTGCCTTAAGCACCAAAACTACCTTCCTTTCCCAGTAGAGGGGGATATAAAATAGCATCTAGGTGGAGTATCAGAGAGGTAGCCGTGTTAGTCTGAATCTGCATAAACATGAGAAGTCCTGTGGCACCTTGTAGACAACAGATTTATTGGAGCATTAGCTTTAGATGCATGTGACGAAGTGGGTCTTTGCCACAAAAGCTTCTGCTCCAATAAATCTGTTAGTCTAGGAGGTGCCACAGGACTCCTCGTTGTTCATCTAGATGGAGGAGTACATAAAATAGACTCTTCTTTGAGTGCTTGTTTATGTGCATTCCAGTCAGGTGTGTGTGTGCACACATGCACAGTAGCGGGAAAACTTTTCTCCTAGCAGCTAGGCATAGGGTCAGCCTTGATGCCCCCAGCAGTGGTGCGGAAATGGCAGCCAATATAGGGCACCAGTGACCCTCTCCCTTTTCAGTTTCTTCTTCCTCTCAGCGAGGGTGGCTGGCATTTCCCCTCGCTGTCTCTTGCTTCACAAGCTGATTAGCGCTTCTCTCATTAGTCTGTAAAGATAAGGTGCAGCTCCGCCCACATCCGGCATTGTTACCAAAGCTGGGCTCCAGTTTCCACATGGCTCAGGGCACTTTTTCTCTCCCAGTTTTCTACCCAAAGCCGCCTTCTGGTGCTAGGGAACAGCTCCGCTCTCTGTGTACCCAGAGCCCTGGCCTTTTCCATTCACAAAACAAGACCATTTTTGAAGATCACCTCAGCGGTGTGTGGCAATTGCTGAGAGAATGAAGGGCCAGTCAGTACCCTTGATGCATTACGTCATGGACAGCGTCCTGTGTCTGTGAATGTTATGGCCTTGTGGGGATGCCTCTGTCGCTGTTCCCGGCACACCCTGCCAGGGCCCAGGCGTCCCCTACAGCATCCCTTGCCCAGGTTGCTCCTCGACTCACACTTTTGCTGCACACTACGTGATCACTCGGAAGCCTTGGGGTGATGCAGCCTTTGGGAGGGCAGTGCACTGATGACTGAAGAACCCCCTCTCCCCGCTCGCTAGGTTTGGGCTTGGGTGTCACCTGACTGGAATACTTCTTTGAGCGCTGCTAGTTGTGCAACGGTGACTCACCTTTTGTAACTGTTGTTCTTCAAGCTGTGGTGTTCATGTCTATTCCAGTACCCACCCCCGGCCCCGCTGTCGGAGTAGCCGGCAAGAAGAACTGAAGAGTGGGAGGGTCGGTGGGCTGACCCTGCAGCTAGCTGCCAGGACAAACGTTTTCCACCTGATGGGCATGCACACGCACAACACACACCTCTAAGAACAGCAGCTGCGAAAGAGGAGTAACCATTTCTTTCTGCATCTAGGTGCTATTTTATAACCACACATCTTCCTCGGCTTTTTGTACCATGCCGTAGCATCTACGGGTGAGAGCTTTTTAATGGTATGAGGTTTTATAGGCCCTCATGTGGGATCACACAGCCAGAACCCAAACAGGGCTAATAACCCTTTGGCTCACCTCCCACCATCCCGCGGCTTCTTTCGAAGACCACAGGGTTTTAAAAATGGCTCCTCCTGTGAAAGTACCATGAGTCCCACTGTGAGGGCCTTAGAAGGGGGGATGCTGGCAATGCGGGGTTAAAGAAATTCCTGTGGTGGCCCCATGCTCCCTGCAGCACACCTCCTCCCCCCCTCAATGAGAGGCAGCCAGGTTGGGGGGGAACAGGAGGCGGGTTAAAAGCCAGTTCCTCCCAGTGCTGTCTCCAGGGTGCTGCCTGCTCCTCCTTGCTGTCTCTATCCGAGGCGGCAGGGGGGTGGAGCAGCCTCCTGGTCACAGCAGATGGGGCTGCCAGGTCCCAGCTCTCACAGATCACCTCACCTCTGCATTTTAAACCTAAGAGCCACAGTGCGGGCGGTTCCCAGAGCTGGCATGAGTCATACTGCTCGGTCCCGGCTTGAGCCGGCTCCTGGCGCTCCCCTTGCTGCGGCTCTGCAGAGTGGTCCTGTTGACTAACTGTATAACTTGTATTGACTATACGATTAGCCTGATAACCGCATTTTAACATCCTGAGCTCTAAAATAGCTTTTCTGTAAGTTCATGTTGCAAGACAGAAGCCCTTAATGCAGCAGCCAGTCATGGCTAGAAGTCCTGCATTTGGCAGGGAGTTAGACTAGATGATCCTTACGGTCCCTTCTAACTCTGACTCTGTAAGTCCTGCCTTCCACTTGGCAAAGGGGATTCCTTGCTCTGAAGGGGGTCAAGTGCTCAGTTCTAGCCCTGATGACTGTTACCCGTCACAAGCACAGGAGTGAGTGTGGCCCTGCAGCTCCTCAGACCAGCCTGTTTTCAGGGGTTGGGGCAGGGGTGTGGTGGAAGGCTTAACATGTGGAGGAAAATACGGGAATGCTTTTGTGGCAGGCTGTTATGAGAAACAGAAAAGGTGGCTCTTGGGAGCTGCGGTGAAGCTGGGAGTGAGACAAATACAGGAGAATATTGTAGTTTATAAAACAGTTGGTCATGGAGACACTGCCTCTGAGTGGAACTGGCAGGGACGCTATCGCTAGTTGGCCAACTTAACACGTCCCATTATAAGCCTGCATGGCTGGCTGCTTATCATTTTACCAACTTGAATCATTTGGGATGCAGGGTTGCATGCTGCTACCTGACTCTGGCTGGCATTTATTTCTGAAAGCTTCAGCAACAATGGGTTAGAACTTCCAGTCGTAGGCTAAGGAAAAATACACTTAAATTCTGACCTGCTTAAAGGAGCTCCAGCACCCTCCATGTTTGAAGCAGAAGCTTTCAATTCTTTTTGAGTGTTTGTGTTTGTGTGTGTGTGAGAGAGAGCGAGAGACTGACTGACTGACTGGCTGGCAATGCCTTCTCTAGTCCAAAGGTGCATCAGGCTTTGCATGACAACTCTCTTTTCACTCTCAACGTTCTGAAGTGTCCTGAAAGGTCCCAGGCTTGGAAACCTTTGGGAAGTTTAAGCAAAAACACCTCCGCTTCTTTTGGGGAGAAGAAAGTGAAAGTGCTACACTTTCCGGGGATGGCAGCTGCAATTGTGCAGCTATGCAATTCTCTGTGCAGACTCGCACTGGGGAGCCTGTGTGTGTCTGTGTGTGCAGGCTGTGGCGGGTAGGGGTCTGATGAGCAGTAATGCTTCGATTTAATATGTACCTATTGGTTTTGGTGGGGGGGTTGGCTTGTTCATCCAGGCTACCGCTATGTTATACTGGACATTCCTCTGCTGTTTGAGACCAACACGCTAACCAAGTTCATGAAACACACAGTCCTCGTTTACAGGTAAGTGCCGCAGCGGTCACGGAAACTGGTGAGTGAATGTCCTTTTGGAAGCCCTTGTTAATGCAGCCTTGTAGTTAACATGGTCCTGCTACTTGCATTTAAGATTCAGAAAACTAATCCCTGTGGATTTTGACTGGCTAAATACAGAGCCAGCCTTAAGAATGAAAGGGATACAAGCAGGCAGTGTTACTAGTCTGAGACGCCGAAGGGTTTCCTCTCTGTCTCTGTTTCCTCTCTTGCTTTTTGTTTGTTTTGTCTGATCAGACAGTTTAGGGCAGGGACTGCCTCCCGGGGTGTCTGTGCCCCCCCATCGCTCAACGGGGCCCTGATCTCCAGTGGGCTGTGGAATGCAAATACGAAATAACAGTGCTAATCAATGCATCAAAATCCCTGTGGACTAGGGGATGTGATGCACCATGTGACGTCCACTCCCCGCATGCTAGTTCAGCTGGTGCTGATGCCCTGTTACCAGGTGTGATGCCGAGTCGGGGTTCCCCCAAATCCTGCAGCCCTGTAGCAGCAAGAACAGACTCCGCCAGCCAGAGACTAGAGAGGGTTTATTGCTTCTCCAGGCTACAGCACAACACAGACGTGATGTGGCTACAGGAGTCTGGGCCAGGATGCCTCAGATCCTTTGGGTTGGGGGGGGGCATCACCCCCTTAGACCTCCAGTCCTCAGTATAGGCCGACTCCTTCATGTTCCCCAGCCAGCAACTGATCCTTTTCCCCCAAGCCTCCTACTGATCTCCGCCTCCCTCCCTTTGTCTCTCCCCCTGGGAATCCCGTTAGCTCCTCAGGCTGAGCTCAGGTGTCTGGGTTAATACACGTTTGGGTGAGTCAGTGGGAATCGCACATCACAGTGCAGGGGGACCCCAGGTTACAGAGCAGACAGCACCCCCACTATGCCACACCAGGGGGCGGTGCTGCGTTATCTCCCCCTCCAGCAGTGGTGAGTGCGCTGGCTCGACTGGCTGGTAAGAAAACCGGGTCAGTTGCTTGGCAGGCTCCGGAGGAAAGGAAACGTTTCACCAGGGAGGCGCTGGGGTGAAGTGGTCTCTGAGTGCAGAGGGGACTCGCTCTCTCCCCGCCAGGTGTACTGGGGGGTAGGGCGGAGAAGCGCCTGTTGCCCTGGCGCACTGAGCATGCTCGGTTTCCCTGCTTGCAGTGTGGGGGCATTGGGGAACGTCACTCCTGTCCAGACTCCTCTCTGAGGCTCAGTCTCTCGTTCCCACCCCGGCAGTGATCCGCAGACCCAGCTGTCACGACTGATGAAGAGGAATGGCCTGGCCCAGGCCGAGGCCGAGGCGCGCATCGCTTCCCAGCTGCCACTTGATGAGAAGTGCAAACTAGCTGACCACGTGATTGACAACTCCGGGGACTGGGAGAGCACGCGGAGGCAGGTCCTGAGACTGCACTCACAGCTGGAGGACTCGCTGGATTTCCTCGTGGTGCGCCTCGTGGCAGTCACAGCAGTTGCGGGAATTGGTGGGCTGATGTGCTTTCTCTTCAGGCATTTTCTCTCTTAATTCAATTGTTAAGGGACCAAACTCTGCCTGGAATGTCCAGGGTGGTAAAGGGTGATGGTCATGAGCCTTAATGAGCTTTGCTCTCTGAATACAGATGACAAGATGAGGGTCTCTTGTAAACTTCTCAAGGGGAAGCTGGGTCCCTTGGCTGCTTGCTTTTAACTTTTTAGTCCTGTTCCTAATGATCAGTGACTGCTGCAGGAGTGAGAGGGGTGCCTGCATAGGTGAAGATTCTCTGAAATCGGTTACACGGTTCAGCTGGACGTCTAAGACCTGACCTCGTTGAAGTGCTAGCCGCCAGGGTGCAAGGAGCCTGTGTTGATTCAACCCTGGATGGAATATGGCTCCTGAAAGAGTCTCATAGCCGTCTTGTCCAGGAGTGGGAATTTGGACTGTGGGGTTCACTTTCCCCACTTCGGAGCATCCTCCGCTGCCAAGAGCTGGCCCTAAATGTTCACTTGGACTCTACACAAGCCATCCCCCTCTGTTTCTCCTGGTTGTGAGTTAATGAATGTTTTCCAAGTGCCTTAAAACCCACCGATGCAGGACACTATAAAATTGCAAGTGTTACTGTAAAATGTCTCTTTCCTGCCATCCTTGTACAGGGTGTTCTATTTTACATAGCTGTGGTTTCCAGGGTTCAAAGAACTTCCTGTCTTTGCAATATTTTAATTTCCCCCTGAGTCAAGTGAGCAAGGCCACATGGCAAAGGGGGCATTGACAGCAGCCACCTGTATACCTCAGGATGTTGGTGTGAGCACACCTGCCCTGCCAGAGCTGTATGTGCTAGGTGGAGATGCACTCGGAAATGCGTGCTTCATGTGGCCATTGCACCTGCTGGTGGTGGGGAGGGTCGAGAGCAGCTGCAGTGTTCTGGCGGAGTCTGCAGACGGGTTCCTCTGGGGCTTTGACATGAGCAGAACATTTCCCCAGCCCCAGTGGGTCTGTCCGGGGCCAGTGCAGAGCGTACAAGTGGTCCCTAATGTCACAAGATGGATTACGAAGACTTAAAATCCTCCATCTTGAGATGGCCTGGCACATCAGCAGCACGTGGTGTACAAGCCCGGCGGAGGTTTTGAACTAGGTTGGACCTCTGAGCAGGATCCGGCCTTGTGGAGTGGCCCGTAGCAGCTATCGTAGAAATCTCTCTGCCCCCGCCCACCTGTGCAGGCCTAGTTTATTGTGGGGCCTCCTTGCCTCACTCCTACAGTGATCAGGGTAGGCCCAGAGGCAGAGGCTTCCTTACCCGTTTTAAACCGATCCCGTTTCTTATCAGTGTTGTGAGCTTCAGAGCAGTTCCAGCAGCCAGCCCCGGGGGCTCTGCTGCCTGTAGCGATGCGGCGAACCTCCATGGCCCCGGGGGCTCTGCTGCCTGTAGCGATGCGGCGAACCTCCATGGCCCCGGGGGCTCTGCTGCCTGTAGCGATGCGGCGAACCTCCATGGCCCCGGGGGCTCTGCTGCCTGTAGCGATGCGGCGAACCTCCATGGCCCCGGGGGCTCTGCTGCCTGTAGCGATGCGGCGAACCTCCATGGCCCCGGGGGCTCTGCTGCCTGTAGCGATGCGGCGAACCTCCATGGCCCCGGGGGCTCTGCTGCCTGTAGCGATGCGGCGAACCTCCATGGCCCCGGGGGCTCTGCTGCCTGTAGCGATGCGGCGAACCTCCATGGCCCCGGGGGCTCTGCTGCCTGTAGCGATGCGGCGAACCTCCATGGCCCCGGGGGCTCTGCTGCCTGTAGCGATGCGGCGAACCTCCATGGCCCCGGGGGCTCTGCTGCCTGTAGCGATGCGGCGAACCTCCATGGCCCCGGGGGCTCTGCTGCCTGTTTCCGCAAATGCTTTTAACGGAAAAGTTTTTCCGTTAAAAGCATTTGCAGAAAAGCGATGCGGCGTACCTCCTTGGCCCATGGGGCTCTGCTGCCTGTAGCGATGCGGCGTACCTCCTTGGCCCATGGGGCTCTGCTGCCTGTAGCGATGCGGCGTACCTCCTTGGCCCATGGGGCTCTGCTGCCTGTAGCGATGCGGCGTACCTCCTTGGCCCATGGGGCTCTGCTGCCTGTAGCGATGCGGCGTACCTCCTTGGCCCATGGGGCTCTGCTGCCTGTAGCGATGCGGCGTACCTCCTTGGCCCATGGGGCTCTGCTGCCTGTAGCGATGCGGCGTACCTCCTTGGCCCATGGGGCTCTGCTGCCTGTAGCGATGCGGCGTACCTCCTTGGCCCATGGGGCTCTGCTGCCTGTAGCGATGCGGCGTACCTCCTTGGCCCCAGGGGCTCTGCTGCCCAGCCTGCATCTTTCTCAGGCACAACGGAGTTGGTGTTAGTTAACCGCACAACTTGTCACCATCAAAGCCGTTCCCCACTCCGGTACTTTGAGTGCAGAGCCCGTAAGAGACTTCACGATACTCTGCCACTAAGGGCTTCTGCTTAAAAACCTGCCAGGTCACAGATTCCCTGCCTTTGGGTGGTACAATGCCATCACCCAACTGCACAAACTCCTTTGAGAACCCAAGAGGACACGTGAGAATTTCTTCTCGTGGGATATTCTCAAGCCCTTTAACCCTCCCTCTACAGGGAGCTTGAAAACAAACTGTCATTATTAATAGCTGACCTGGCAGTTTTAGGCATGTGCATGCAGAACCTCCTGCCTTCTAGGACACAGGAATCAGATCATAGCCTTAAAAAGGTGGGTTTTTTTATTAACAAATCAAAGACGACATACTTGGAGAAGCATTACTTGGTTGCCAGGTGTTGCAGAGCAACTGAAAAGACAAGATTAAACACAGAAAATTGATTCCCTAGGGTTCAGTTAAAACATTGGGTGTGGGGGGTAGTACATGGGCTGATCACCCAGGGGTCCAACAAACCTGAAAGTAACCTGATGCTTAACATTCCCTGTTGTTTTCATATCCGTTAATCCAAGATTTAGTCTCTCCCTGGGCATGGATATGCTGGAAGTTCCATGCCTTGTTCTTGGTGTAACTCATATCTCCCAGCTCAGCTCGGGTCGTGCAGACTGCAACAGCAGGGCCCTGCTTTTCAGTTTAAAAAACTCACACTCTGTTTTCATTGGCTCTTTGACAACACTTCCTGGGGACTCTAGGGCAACCAAAATGATTAGGGGTCTGGAGCATATGACCTACGAGGAGAGGCTGAGGGACTTGGGTCTGTTTAGTCTGCAGAAGCGAAGAGTGAGGGGGGACTTGAGAGCAGCCTTCAACTTCCTGAAGGGAGGTTCCAAAGAGGATGGAGAGAGGCTGTTCTCAGTAGTAACAGATGGCAGAACAAGGAGCAATGGGCTCAAGTTGTGGTGGGAGAGGTCCAGTTTGGATATTAGGAAAAACTATTTTACTAGGAGGGTAGTGAAGCATTGGAATGGGTTCCCTAGGGAAGTAGTGGAGTCTCCATCCCTAGAGGTGTTTAAGTCTCGGCTTGACAAAGCCCTGGCCGGGTTGATTTAGATGGGATTGGTCCTGCCTAGAGCGGAGGGCTGGACTTGACGACCTTCTGAGGTCTCTTCCAGTTCTATGATTCTATGATAAGGGGATGGTTGGATGAAATAACATGATCTTGGTAACTAATTGACCATTCATTATAGGGAACTTTCTGGGTGTCTGGCTGGTGAGTCTCGCCCACATGCTCAGGGTTTAGCTGATCGCCATATTTGGGGTCAGGAAGGAATTTTCCTCCAGGGTAGATTGGCAGAGGCCCTGGAGGTTTTTCGCCTTCCTCTGTAGCATTGGGCACAGATCACAGCTGAAGGACTCTCTGCATGTTGGGGCCTTCAAAGTATTTGAAGGCTTCAATATCTGAGACATAGGTGAGAGGATTATTCTAAGAGGGGTGGGCGAGATTCTGTGGCCTGCACTGTGCAGGGGGTCAGACTAGATGATCATAATGGTCCCTTCTGACCTTAAAGTCTATGAGTCTATGAGTCTATGAGCCCATGTCTTTGGGTTTAACCCTTACAGGCAGTTTAGTTAGCTGAATGGATGGGATGTCCAGAAAAGAGTAGCACCCCTCCTGTTCATCACAATTACACTGAGGAATCCTTATGGTGCCAACATCTCCATGAGGGGTCTAGGGTGGCAAGCAAGATACTACATTATGTAATGGACTCAATATTTAGCTCCACCCACAGCATACAACCTGTGGAACTCCTTGCCAGAGGATGTTGTGAAGCTCAAGACTACAACAGAGTTCACAAAAGAGCTAGATAAATTCGTGGAGGACAGGTTCCCCCACTGGCTGCTAGCCAGGATGGGCAGGGATGGTGCTGTAGCCTGTTTGTCAGAAGTGGGGAATGGGCGATGGGAGGGATCACTTGATGATTTACCTGGTCTGTTTATTCCCTCTGGGGGACCTGGCACACACATGCCCACTTCGTAATTCCTTTGGTTGGGTCCCTGAGCCCAGTGCTCATTTCCCTGCAGCCTTTGAATGATCCTTGTCCCCTTACGGAAGGGTGTCAGCCACCAAAACGGTGGCGTTAAACCTGCAGCTCATGCCCTCCCTCTGCACTGGGTTCCAGCCCACAGGCCTGTGCCCACAGACAGTTGGCACCAGCCCCCTCCTTAGTGCTGTTCACCTGGGCTTCCAGCCCATCCCTCTCAGGCTTTCTTCCCCACAGTCGTCTGGGCTGACCCTTCTTTCAGGTCAGACTGGATGACAAAGGCTTAAAGACTGAGACCAGGATCCCAGGTCTTATTCTCCCTGCTGGGTTCCCCCTGTGCCCTGTTCCCCAAGAACGATGCAACCATCCTCCCTGCTTAGGGGGACCGTATTTCCCAAATGGGAGAGCAGGACACCAGCTGGGGCTGTTGCTCAAGGCACCCCCATAGAGTCTGGCCCAAGCCCTGTGCCCTTCCCCCTCCACACACGTGGGACCAGCTTGAGCCGCTTGGCTCCCTGCCTGTGCGCGCTCTGTCCAGCATGAGCTGCCTGAGCCCTCCCTCCACCCACATGGGGCTGGTCTCACCCCTCCCTCTGCACATCTCTCTGCCCTAGGGGCTGCACTCTACCTCCTGGCAAATCTGGGCATTTATCCTGGTCACGCTTGTCAGCAAAAGCAAATGGGCCAAATGCCCAGTTTTGCCGAGAGGACGTCTGGGACAGGGCTTCAGAAAGGGCCTGTCCTGGCAAAAGTGGGACGGATAGTCTAGGGACGTTAACTAACCTGTACTTGTGTAAACGTGGACCCACTGGACTTTTTAACGGTTACCTCCTGGCAAATCTGGGCATTTATCCTGGTCACGCTTGTCAGCAAAAGCAAATGGGCCAAATGCCCAGTTTTGCCGAGAGGACGTCTGGGACAGGGCTTCAGAAAGGGCCTGTCCTGGCAAAAGTGGGACGGATAGTCTAGGGACGTTAACTAACCTGTACTTGTGTAAACGTGGACCCACTGGACTTTTTAACGGTCACACGTTTACATGCGCGGGGGGGGGCAAAGAGTCAGTGCTCACAGGGAGCCGGCTTCTCCCCAGGAGCACTGACTCCTGCTTCCTTCCCCCCCCCCCCCCCCCCCCTCCCCCCCGAAGGGGCACCCACTCAGG